TATTCTCTTTATTGACCTCCTGTTAGTTGCATGTTGGACCTTTTGCTCTGATCTTTTCATTCTCTTACCTCTTTTCTCCTGCTCTCTTAATCTCTTGTTATACTTTCTGAAAGATTTTCTTTTATTTTACCTTCAAAACTGTATATGAAATAACCAATTTATGATTCACTTTTTTAAATCTTTGGGATCTGGTTCTTAGATAAAAAGAACTTCTTACAGTTGCTTCTTTTTTTTAAGATTTATTTATTTGAGAGAGAGAGAATGCGCGAGTGAGGAGAGGGGCTTTTTTTTAGGGAGAGAATCTCAAGCAGACTCCCCACTGAGCCGGGAGCCCCATGTGGGGCTTAATCTCAAGACCCTGAGATCCTAACCTGAGCCGTAATCAAGAGTTGGATGCTTAACTGGCTGAGCCACCCAGGCACCCCTATCCTATGATTGCTTCTTATAATATCCTGCAAGATACTGTCATTTTGCAGAGGTAATACAATTTGAATATCTTTAGGATAGGTTTTTTAGTTTTTTTCTCTTGGTTTCATTATCTTCATTTCTTTCATGTGTGTGTTCATGCATTTGATGTTTGGCTGGTCAGTCTCATGATGGAGATGTTCCAGGAATGTTCAGTGATCCCTAACCATTCACATTTAGAAGAGAAGTGCTAACAGGCTGATTGGAAGTCTTTGTGTGGGACTGTCAACAAAAAGGTCATCAGGTCACCAATCAGCCTTTTTTTGGAGGGTTCCCAAAGGCCAGATCTAGAAGACTTTTCTCTGGGGCCATTCATTTTTTTAGGGTAAGACTTCTCCCTGGTGATGTGCCTGGTGATAGGCATTCTAGGAATGACCACTAAGGATTTGACTAGAGATAGCCCACGGTCACCTTATTTCCAGCCCTGTGCCTCTCTCCTGATCTCTGCTGAGCCTGGTAGCCCCTTGTCTAGGGTCTCTCCAGTTCAGTTTCTCTGGAGAGTAAACTTTTGTTCTCTTGTTGGAGAGTTGATTGGAAGGGGTAGGGCCTGGCAGGAGCGATGGTGAGTCATCTGGCCGTGTGAGGTCATAGTGTTGACCTGTGGGTCCAGCTACCACATGGGAAGACTTTCAACTTTCCCACTAAGTTTAGCCCTCACCTCACCCATGACCTTTGCAGCTTGAGGTAACTCCAGGTGCCCTGCTACTCAGAGGTTCTGTGGTAGGTCAGCTCCTTGCCCTGTGGTTAACACTTCTCCAGACACATTCTGTATTCTGAAAGTATGTTCAAGTCTCATGTTCACACTGTATCAGCTGGGATGCTTCGGGTGCAAGTAGCAAAAAACCTGGTCTTATTAAATGCTTAAATAATTAAAAATTTTCTTATCACACGTGACAAGAAGTCCAGAGGTGAAAGGGCACCAGTCCCCAAAGATGAGGAATCGGCTCTCGTTCCCTGCCTTTCTTTTACTCCATCCTCTTTAGTCTTCCGGTTTCATCTTCAAAGTTTATAGCAAGATGGCTGCCGCACTTCCAGGGACATCCAGAAGAAGGTGGAGACCACTTTTTCCTTGTGTCCCATTTTAAAAGTGAGGAAAATCTTTGCAGCCTCCCCCCAGAAAAAAATTTTTTATGTATTTCTCATGCCCTTTTCCAAACCAATCATTAGCAAGATGAATGAGATTTCCATTATTGGTTTAGGAGGTAAATGGAGGCTGGGAAGTAACCACCATAAGGATCACTGTATTTCTGCTGATCTCTTTGTTCTTCAGGGCCATGCCTTTTTTTATCCCTTTACTGTGATTTTAGTAGTGTTTTGGGAGGATGAGGAGATAAGTGTGTTCGATCCATGTGGCCCATGTAACAGGAAGTTTTTCAGCTACTTCCTTACACGTTATCTGTACTACTAGCTCACTTTCTGGGTTTTTTTTTCTGTTTTTTTTTTTTTTTTAATTTGTTATGAAATGTTTCCCATGTACATAAAAGTAGAAAGAATAATAAAATGAACACCTGCATACCCAGTTTTAACAGCTGTAATGGTAACATTTTGCAATTATATTTATTTCATCTACATTTTCTGATGATACATTTTGAGGTAAATTGCAAATACCATGGCATTTCACCTCTAAAGATTTCCAAATGCATCTTTAAAAAGTAAAGATATTTTCCTGTATAACCAAAATGCTATTAATCACACTTAACAAAATCCAGCTAACTTTTATCTCCTGCAGGGCAAGGAGGCCCTATCACCACGGGGAAGGCCTCAGAAAGAGCCTGCTAGAAATTTTGGAAACGATGTCAATGTCCATCAATAGGCTAGTTAAGTAAATTATGATATATCCATACTATGGAATATTGGGGAATATTAAAAATGATGATATAGTTACACATGGAAAGATCTCTACAAAATCACTAGGCTGGAAAAAAAAAAGCATGTCTCAAAATAGCATGTACAGTGTGATCCAGTTCTTGCTTAAAAAAAAAAAAACCCATGTATGCACAGTAGTGAAATCTGGAAGGATATAAATCAAAATGGTAATAGCACTTGATCTTGAGTGGCAGGATTATGGATGCCATTTTCTTTCTTTATATGTTTCAGCATTATCAAAATTGTTTCAGTGTTTGGGTCTTCAGCTGTAAATAGGCAATAATGTTGTTGCCCCTTCTGATACAGGAGAGTAGGTATCTGGGAATGCACCTGAGGTGATGTGTTCTCTGCACTATACATTTGGAACATGCAGAATGAATGGCATCTTTGTTTTCATAAATATAGGAAGGTGATAGTCAATAATGAATTGTCACACCAACAGAGTTCTTATAGTAACACTGAAAAACTACATGTGGCCTTGTTTTTGGTTTCTTGTGGGGGTTTTTTTTTTATTGTGACAAAATATACATAATGTAGAATTTACCATTTTAACCATTTCTAAGTATACAGGTTCTTGGCATAAGTACATTCTCATTGCGGCACGACTGTCACCACCATCCATCTCTAGAACTTTCTGTCTTCCCACACTGATACTCTGCACCCATCCCCAGTATCTGGTAGCCACTGTTCTACTTTCTGTCTCTATGAATGTGACTACTCTGGGTACCTTACATAAGTGGAATCATACAATATTTGTCCTTTGTGACATGTCCTCAAGGTTCATCCGTGTTGTAACTGTGTCTGGATTTCCTTCAAGACTTAACTAATATTCCATTGTATGGATATACCATATTATGTTTTATCCATTCATCTATTTATTGATGGACATTTGGATTGTTTCTGGCTTTGCTTTTAAAGGACTGTGCTTTAAGGATCTGGTTTGAATCAGCTATTTGACACCTGGAGAGAATTGAGAGTGAAAATGAGAGAGAAGGGAGAAAATCAACAGTGCTGCTTCATGCTGCTCGAAGGGGCAGCTCTCAAAGCAGAATGCAGAAAACTCATTCTTTTTTAAAGATCTGGATTTTGGGGCGCCTGGGTGGCTCAGTTGTTAAGCGTCTGCCTTCAGCTCAGATCATGATCCTGGGATTCCGGGATCGAGCCCCGCATTTGGCTCCCTGCTTAGCGGGGAGCCTGCTTCTCCCTCTTCCTCTGCCTGCTGCTCCCCCTGCTTGTGCTTGCTCACTCTCTCTCTGACAAATAAATAAAATCTTAAAAAAAAAATCTGGATTTTTTTTTTTTCCTCGTGAACTTCTTTTGCTCCCTGTATTTCACCCCGGTCAATCACCTGATAAAAATGGAGAAGCAGGAGAAACAACTGATAACTTACCTCTTCTAAGTTTTTTACTGATACTGATGTGTTTGGTTTATTCTTGCTTTTGCCTTGTTTTGGTTTTTTTTGCTGCTCGTGAAGCATGCAGTGCTTCCTACTGTGACATTGCTTTTCTGTAAGCTTAGCCTTCATGGAGATGAGATCTGCGGGATTGTTCATACACAAGGAACTCGTTCATTCCTTCGTTGAGAAATATAGTTCTTCAGCACCTACTGTAAGACAACCATGCCGGCCTGTGGTTCTAGTGGCTTGTCAAAAGTTAAACGGAAACATTCATCCTCAGAAGATACAATTAAACTACGTGTGGCTTGATATTAAGAAACACATCTGGAGCACCTGGGTGGCTCAGTTGTTTTAGCATCTGCCTTTGGCTCAGGTCATGATTCCAGAGTCCTGGGATCAAACCCCGTGTTGGGCTCCCTGCTCAGCGGGAAGTCCGCTTCTCTCTCAGCCCCTCCCTCCGGCTAGTGCTTTCTCTCTCGAATAAATAAATAAAATCCTTAAAAGAAAAAAGAAACACATCTGGGGGTGCCTGGGTGGCTTGGTCACCTCTGGGGCACCTGGCTGGCTCGGTTGGTGGGTCTGGTTGGTGGATCCGTAGTAGAGCCTGCAACTCTTGTTCTCAGGGTCGTGAGTTCAAGCCCCACATTGGGTGTAGAGCTTACTTTAAAAAAAAAAAAAAAATGGGAAAAGAAAAAAAGAAACAGATCTGGCTGCGGAGTAAGAAACTTGTGCCCCATCACTGGGACAAAACCTTTTTCAATGCCAGTGTGATAACAATTGCATAAAGCTATAGTTTAGTAGCCAAAACACAAGTATAGGGCTATCTTCCATCATGACTGATATTTTGGGAATTGGTTTGAAGTTGTTTACTTGGCTGATCTTCCTGTCAGTTTCCACTTTCAGGAAGAGGCAACTACATGGCAAGTACAAATTACTTACATGCAAACAGATGAGTAATTGTTAACTGAATTCATTAGAAGACTAGTTTTAAGTTAATTCTCTATTACTGTATTTTATATTCCACTTACACTGTTGTTTTCCCCAGTGCCTGAACTTAAGCAGGGCAGAGCCTAAGCGCCACAGGATCATTGTAGAAAGCTAGTTGATGCTAACCTGATCTCAGCCTGAATTTTTCCCTTGTGTAAATTTGCCATTGACCCGCCTTCCTTGATGTATCCAGAGAGCTGATCGGTCTGCCTTCTGAGCTCCGTTCAACTGGCTGGGTCTTCCTCCCTCAGCCAAGTTCATGCTGTCCGTTCTTTCTTGCCCTCAGACCATCATCTGCAAATAGCATCAGCAGCAGCACATCTTCAAATCACAGTGGCTACACCCCGGAACCCCCCCTACCCCCCGCTGGAGGTGACCTCACCAGCCGACTGTCAAGTGATGAAGGGGAGATGGATGGAGCTGACGAACCCGAGAAGTTAGACTGTCATTTCTCTACCCACCACCCCAGACCTCTTGCGGTAGGCCACCATGTTTCCGTCCATGCATTTCCCCCTCCCCTGGTGCCCTGCGGACATTTAGGTCATCCTGCCAGACAGCGCGGGTTCCTAAGGAGTGGCTGCCAGAACAGGGGTTGATGGAGAGGTTTACCCTGAGGGTGAATGATTGCCTTCAATTTACCCTTGAAGATCACAGAAGGTTCCCTACTGGTTATAATCCTTTAAACCCCTGAGTATCCATGGTACACCTTGAAGCGAGAATGCCTGAGAAATGGTGTCTGTGTAAGTGCACTGGGGAGCTGACCTTGCGGCCTTGCCCAGCTAAAAATGGAGCTTCTGGTTTCCAGAGTTCGTCTAGCTCACCTGCTTTGGAAACTGTCTGTCTTAGCAGCACGCCAGGGGCCGGCCCTAGCTGCTTTTCTCCCCTGTTGATTCTGAGTTTTATTGTTATTAGTAAGTGTGACCATATGGCACCAGAACTGTGAGAGAGAATGTATGTGTGTGTGTGTTGAGGAGAGGAGAGGAAGAAAAGCATTTCACATCAGCAAAGGTACAATTCCTTCCCAATTCCTTGAAAGAGTCTACTTTCGACAGGTCAGAAGGTCATTGAAATCGAGGTGGGAAAGGTAAGGAGGCATGAACTGAAGGCTTGTTTATGTTTGCCCTACAAGCACTTAAGAAGGGACTGCCTGGTGCTACCATCACAGAACCAAATTCAGGGGGGCCCAGAACGTGGGACCCCATGGCCCATTTTTGCTCTGGTCCCAGGTTGAGTTCTGCAAGGTTACCTTTGACTATCCCTAGATGTCCTGAGCTGTGTGGGGAAAATCCATCCTGCACTGGGACGCCTGGCTGGCTCAGTGGGTGGAGCGTGAGACTCTTGAGCTCAGGGTTGTGAGTTCGAGCCCCACACTGGGTTTAGAGATTACTTAAATAAATAGAATCTTAAAAAAAAAAAACTCAATCCTGCGACAAGATGGAGTGAGTCTCTCCTCCCTTCTATCTGGCCAAATTCACTTCCTGTTTCTGGGGATGATGGTGACCTGTGGTTCACCAATAGCCTGAGACTTTGCTGCTTGGCCAGTGCAGAAATAGGGACAGGGAGGAATGCCTTTGACTGCCAGGAATAGAACACTGAACTCGTATATAGTGTATACACTACAGCCATTGATTCATCTTATGGAACAAGAGGTCCAGAGGTAGGTGGTTGCCAGCTTGGTTCAGCATCTCTGCCATATGGTGCTGCTGAGCGAGAATCTCTGCAAGCCTCTTTGCCTGTCGTACACGGTCTCCCTGTACCTGCAACAGCTCCCATGTCACATCCTCACCCACTAACATTCTCCAAAGGGCGGAAAGGGATGAACAGAAAGGGAGTCTTTTTCTAAGGTACTATCTTATATCATTTCTTAAGGAAGGAAATCTTCCAGTGAGCTCCCCCAGCAGGCTTCCACTTCCATCCAGCACAAATGTCTCACGTGCCCACCCCGACACCACCTGGGGGCTCCGAACGATGGGATTGCAGTGACACAGGATGAAAGTAGCCATGATTCATCTCAAGGTTCTGGGAAGGGAATCCCCTCCCTTCCCTGCTCCCTGTTCTGTGCCAGATACCAGAACAGAAGGGCGGCTCCATTAGGCAGGAAAAGGTGGGGAGAAGTACAGGGGGGGTGGCAGTGGATGAGCCAGGCAGCCAGTGGAATCTGCCACAGTGGCCGACGCAGTGAAGGCACAATATGCGGCAGAGAACGGGAGCCTCTTGGGCGTTTAACCTTGCATCTGTATTGAATTAGGGACATAGGTAGCAAAGACAGTTGGGAGCCTCCAGCTTCTGAGTCTGAAAGAGAGACTGGACTCTACCGGAAGGCCAGACTCCAGAGCATGAGGTATTTGTCCAAATGACAGGCTGCCAGGCTCCAGTGGATTAGCTCAACTCTGGGCATGGTGGATTTGTACGCCCTTAATGTTTTGCTGATTTAAATGGAAAGCCCATGGATTATTTCCTAGCTTTGTCCTTTTTCTCATGGTCAGTTGATATATTAAATCATTTTTTGTCATAAACGGTCATTCAGGGTGTCTTTAGCAACTGGGACGAAGGAAGAAAAGATGTCTAGACCTGGAACAGCTCCCACATGCTGCTGGGGGACTGGCTTCCACATTGGAGAACCCCCTTTGTATATTTTCTTGCTCCATCTGTAAACACTTGATATGAAAGTGCAGGAAAGAGTTTTTCATCAGGAGTACCAGGTTTGACGGGTGACAAAATCTTAATGCAAAACCCCCCAAACATAAGCAGAAACAAAACAAAGGGAAGGTCTTGCATTTCCTCCTAAGAACCGTTCCAAAGGCTGGTTCCAGGAAGGGTTTGTGGAATGAGTGCCAAACCCAGCACTGTGTCTGGGATGGAGGCCAGGGAGCTGCTGGGAGGTCCGGGGGAAGGGGGAGAAGCTGTATTTGAGTTATAGAGTCTTAGGCAGACTCGCCTGAGCTCTAGACCATCCAAATGTCACCGTCTCAGAGGTCGCTTCTTGCATTTCTGTCTGCTGGCCTTCTGGTTGCCCTAACATCATAATCCAGTGATGTTCATTAAACATCGTACTGCTCATATTTCAGCCATGTGGTTTAAATGTGATGATTTGCTTTAAACATTTCGTAGTACCTTGTCTCTCCAATCCGTTCTTTAACCCAAATCCCTTCCCTACCATCCTCATACTGAGGAGGAAGAAGAAAACAAGGCTTCCAGCCTTTTTATACTTTAAAATCAAGTGAGGCACATAAAACTATATAGAACATAAAACAGCCATGTAGCAATTCCAAGGTGAAATGTAATAAAGCATGCGATAGATGTGCGGTGGGAGCGCAGAGGGATGAGGTTGGTCACATAAGGGCCATTGGAAATGAGAGTCTTGATTAGGGCACTCAGGGAGGGAGAATTGGGACTTCAAGAGAAGAGGGAAGGAGACAGGGAGCAGCGGGAACAGCATGAACGAGCCAAGGAACAGCATGAACGGAAGCATGGTGATGGTGACGTGTCACAGGGCAGCCTACAAGAGCTGAGAGGTGGACGTGAAGTCAGGACTGGGGAAGGAAGGAGTTTATAGCCTCATTGGAAGAAGTGAAGTGGCTCTGTCGACAACAGATAGGAAAGCTCTGACCAGTTGGCAGACAGCATCAGGACAAGCGGTGTCCCATTACCACGATGAGAAGCAGGGAACCCCCGAGTCCCCAGAGAAGACAGGTGATACCATAGGCGGGCAGTGCTGGAAAATTCCCCTGGCTGCTGGTTTGGTTTGGTTTGTGTGTTTGCTTTTAACCTGTAAGACTGGCTGGATCCCGGGTGTAGAGAAGGTAGCCCTCAGTGCCACAGAAAAATGTCACTACTGTCGAGTCCTAATGCGAGGTTCAGCAGAAAATCTAGAGCACAGACGAAAGCACCACAGAAATATTTTTGGCTTCAATACTATTTGCTTCTTTATTTTGAGTAAAATTGTACCCCTGTGTGTTTTTGTGCGAATGTTATTTTTCTCTGCATGGTTTATATTAGCTTATTAACCTGTAATCAAAATTAAAATGTTTTTTCCCCTCACAGTTTTGCTCATTCGGGAGTCGCCTCATGGGACGAGGGTACTATGTGTTTGATAGAAGATGGGATCGTTTTCGATTCGCACTAAACTCCATGGTAGAAAAACACTTGAATTCACAGATGTGGAAGTAAGTGAGCCGTTTTTGTGCAATATACGCTCAGAGCTGCCCCACGACTGTCTGAACCGTAGCTTTCCGGATGAATGTGGTGGTTGGCTTTTCATAGAACAAAATGATTCTGAAATTGGGATCCCTGATTAATTCATAAATGCCAGCTCTTCTTAATGGCTTTCCCACAGTTTCTCAGAGACACGTACGACGTGTGGCGTGCTTTGTCCCCTTTGGAGATCATTTTTGTGTTGGTAATCTTCTAAACTAAATGAAAAAAGCGTTAGATAAGATCTTGTTTATTTAAGAGTGTTAAAGGGTCTTTTGGCTATGACTAAGAACATCTAAGGATACTGAGAATATGCCTCTGCCTGTAATGTTAGTGCTACAGTGTCAATACTAAAAATTTCACAATGGTTATGGACCAATTTCTAATTGTTTAATGTCCTGTGAAAAAAATAAGTACAGTGGCCAACAGGGCGGATCCTGAGTGATGCTGGAAGTGGGTTAAAAAAATCTTTGGCCCTTCCCGCCTCACTAGAGCTCTCTCCTCGCCTCACCCCAGCCAACCCCAGCTTACGTTCCATTTCTCTGAGCCCCCTTTCTTCTCCAACACCTCCCAATGTATTTACATCTTAACAGGAGACTCATAAAAAAGGGAAGGAAACTTCCTGACTTAGGCAAATGCCCTTGTGAAAGGGTGACAAGCTAGACCCTTTCCAACCACAGCACATGGGGGGCTTCCAGGCTGGCCCCTCGATACTGCACGGCCAGCCCGCACCCCCACTCCTACAAAAGTGAGCCCCCAGGACATCATAATCCATTAGCGTCATGGACCCCTCAGGTCTGCGCCCAGGCAGGTCAGGAAAGCCACAGTCCAACCCCGAACCCCGCCCAGGGAGGCCCGGGAAAGGCGGGAATGGAAGGGTTCCTAAGAATGGGAGGGTGCTGCGGGGGGACCTGGGAGCAGAATTCAGAGCTGGCCCCTCTCCCGGCAGCTGTGGCACCTCCCAGACCTGACCTCCTCGCAGAAGCCAGCCCCACGGGGTGTGTGGGTAACTGTCCCAGCGGACTCCATGGTGACACCTAGTGCAGAATAGGAAAGGGCCACAAGAGAAGCTTATCGTTTCTTCTCACTGCTGCGCCAGCTCAGTGTGTCTGAAGGGCACCCTCGGTGGCAGCCTGTGTCCGCTCAGGACAGCCGCCACTGGGCGCTGCATGCAGGGCTCCTGGGTTCTCGGTGTTTTGGTGGTTGGCCCCTGTGCGCTTGTCCCCCCAAGATGGCAGGCTGCCCTGGGGATTCTCGCAGCTCTTTGCGCTCCTGTGTTGTGGAAGTGTAAATCCTGGACACGTGGAAGGAATGTGTTGATCTGTGTTTCGCTACCTGGTGTCCTGTCAGCTCAAGCTCCATATTCCTTTCCTCCTCAGGCACAGAAACCCGAGCCCCAGGGCATCAGGTCCCTCCCCCCTTTTCAGGACTTGCCTAACCAATCTGCTGTCACTGAGCAACATTGGGGCTGCCTGGGTGTCAACTCTGGAGAGCGTAGCACCCCGCTGCCCTCTCAGCCTCGCTGCCCAAACCCCAGGCCCCGACGGGCCCGAACCTGGAGGGATGGCAGCCGATGGGGGCGTGGAAGACATTAGGAAGAAAAGGAACGGCCAAGACTCTTTTTTCTTTAACAAGCATTTAACTCTGCATCAGGAGACGCCAACACAGTATTCTCTTTCAGCCAGGTCAGCATCTGGATCTCCACGCCAGCTGGCGGGGGAGGAGGGGCGCTCTCAGTAATTTATCCGCATCTGTGGGCTTTTGTACGGGACTCCCCAGGCCAGCGTGCACAGTGGAAACCGGGGCACGGCCCGCAGAGCTGAAGTCCACTGCCAGCCCCCTAGAAAAACACATAAACTGCTGAGCACGGGGGGCAGGGGCTTCCCGGGACAGTGAGCCGCCGCGTGCCCCTCGCCCTGCTTCTCCCCCGCCCTTTCTCCCCTCCGCCTCTGCCCTCCACTTAGGATTAGCGGGGAGACGAAGGAAAGGGACAGAAAGGAGACGAGGAAAATAGCATCCACCCCAATCCTGAGGGTCAGCGGGTAAGACTGACGACTTCGGCCCTGCTTGTCCGCCCAAGTCGAAACACACACTGAACATGATTCAGTGAGAAAATTACAAATCGGGGCATTCAGAGTAGAGCCCAGTTAAGGCCATCGATTGGGGTCCTCTCTAAAGGAGCCATCTGGCGTCCATAAATACTGTTTCTTACAAGTCACTGCCAAACCTCTGCCCGCGTGTATTTCTATCCCTACTTTAGCCGGTAGGAAACTGGAGTCAGGGAAAGATGGAGCGGGCTGCTGGCAGACGGCAGGGGGAGTGTGCAAACGCCGCACGCCCGAGAAACCGGGCTGCTGGCAGACGGCAGGGGGAGTGTGCAAACGCCGCACGCCCGAGAAACCGGGCTGCTGGCAGACGGCAGGGGAAGTGTGCAAACGCCGCACGCCCGAGAAACCGGGCTGCTGACAGACGGCAGGGGAAGTGTGCAAACGCCGCACGCCCGAGAAACCTCCCCGAAAGCTTCAGGGCAGCTTGTGCGGTGCCAGTTTGAAGGGCGTGTCCAGACCTCTCAGGTCCGCTCTCGTGGGAGTCCTTGCCCCTCGTGCACAGTTCTGTTGCTGCTGAGAATCCACCTGCTCACCCACCCACCCACCCACCCATCCACCCATCCATCCATCCATCCATTCACTCATTGGTTCATTGCAACAAGTACTAAGGAACACTGGTTGAGTGCTGACAGGCCTTTTATGTCCTTTGGGCTTAAGAAAAAGTAGATTTTCAAACGCCATCATGGCCACAGTGGATTGGCAACATTTTTCCTCTTATATTTGATCCATTTGATCTGATGTTTTCAAGGACCCTGTGCTTCTGTATTCAAGGACTTCTCTGGATTCCACCCTAAAGATGGAAGCCATAAGCTCCACCAAATTGCAGGCAGAAAACCAAGTCCTCAGGGCAGCACTAGGAGAGGAATTTCCTCCTCAGTGGGGCCTCTTTCTGGCATCCAGGGGCACCCCGTCCTGCTGCTACCGCTGAGAGGGTGGCTTCCAAGGAGCCAGGGAATTTCCAGAGGCCCTGTCTCACACCTGCTCGAAGCCCTGGGGGTGCAAGTCCCAAGTGGCCCACCTTCAAGTGCTGCTTTCAGAGAAACAGAGCTAGTTCCTGACTGCTGGGGGGTGCTCAGCTACACTGAAAATGATTTCCAGGGAAGTGGGGAGGGGGAGCTAGGGGCAAGAGAGGAAAGAACCCATTTGAAAATATTCACCTGGCTCCTAAGGTCAGTAGCCTTTCCTGCAAAAAAAAAAAAAAATCAGGAACAAATGGTGACCCCAAGGCCCCTGTGCCCCTCCTGGTTCCCAGAGTAGCAGTGATATCAAGCCAGACCATGGTTTGGAGGTGGGAGTCAACAGATGGAGCTTATAGGAAGGCCCCAGGAATGACCTGCCACCCGATGCTGGCCTGGGCCCCACAGAGTGCAGGAGACAGGGAGTTTGCTCCCAGGCACCCCAACCTCCTGGAAGACACCCCCCCCCCCACCGACCGTGTATTCTCCTGTGCCCATATCCTGCATCTGTCTTCAGAACAAACTGGAAATTCCTGACCCCCTGGTCTGGATCCCTGTATGTCCCTGTCCTCTCACTGCACCCTAACACGGGGACGGGAAGACCCGCGGAGGGGCAGCCACACCCCCATCATAGCTCCTCAGGGTGAGAGCTGAGGTTGGGTGAGGTGAATAAGAATGTATGGGAGCCCACGTGTTCATGCTCCTCCACAGAACAAAGTGGAGGCTGCAGACAGCCAAGGCAAGAGGATGCTGGCCTGCCAGCCGGGGGTGGCGGGGGGCGAGGACCAAAGGGCTGGGAAGGCCCGAGAGGCAGTGTGCAGGCCTGTCCCTCAGGCACAGGTGGCAAAGCCCTGTCCTCACACTTCTTACTCAAGCCGGGACCTACCTGTGAAATGACTACCACTCATTAACAATCACCGTCATCACTGCCAAAAAAACAAAAGAGGAGAAAGAGAGAGAGAGAGAGAGAGAGAACACTGTTGGGGAAAAAAAAATTCTAAATAACATTCGCCTTTATTCATGAACCCAAATCAGCTATTATGCAGTAGCCAGGCATGGAGAAAAGGATCTGAGAACCTGCAAGTGATTCACACTAGGTTGCTGGATGTTGCAATGGGGGGAACCACAGGGAAGGGCCATAATTCAGAGTCCGCCATCCTTCAAGGCTTCATCTTCCATAGTGTGGTTCGAGCGGGGTTTCTGTGGAGCGCTGCTGCTCACACGTACTCGAGCCTCCGGGGCACCGCCAAGCCTGTTTCTCACGGTTTCTCTTTCACTCTTCTCTCATGTTTAGGAAGATCCCTCCTGCGGCAGATAGCCCCATGCCCTCGCCGGCAGCCCACATCACCACCCCCGTTCCAGCATCCGTTTCCCAGCCTTTCAACAACCCCAGTGCTGTGTATCTTCCTTCAGCTCCCATCAGCTCGAGACTCACCTCTTCTTACATAATGACATCAGCCATGCTCTCAAACGCAGCTTTTGTGGCGTCGCCGGACCCGAGCGCCCTCATGTCACACACCACAGCTTTCCCCCATGTGGCCGCAACCCTCAGCATCATGGACTCAACCTTCAAGGCCCCATCCGCCGTGTCCCCGATACCAGCCGTCATCCCTTCCCCATCCCACAAGCCATCCAAAACCAAAACCAGCAAATCCTCAAAAGGCAAAGACCTGTCCGCCCGTAGCGACGAGTCTCCAAGTAACAAAAAGAGGAAGCCGCAGCCTTCGACTTCCTCCTCCTCCTCCTCATTAACCTTGCAGACATCCCTCTCGTCTCCATTATCAGGGCCCCACAAAAAGAACTGTGTCTTGAATGCCAGTTCAGCTTTGAACTCCTATCAGGCGGCCCCTCCCTATAACAGTCTGTCTGTGCACAACTCAAACAATGGGGTGAGCCCACTCAGTGCCAAACTGGAGCCCTCAGGACGGACCTCGCTGCCCGGCGGCCCCGCGGACCTAGTGAGACACGGGGGCTCGGTGGGCGGCAGCAGTGACTCCTGTCCCCTCTCTGTGCCCTCCCTTGCAGGGGACCTCTCTCTGGCCTCACACAATGCCGTGTCTTCGCTGCCCCTCTCTTTTGACAAATCAGAAGGAAAAAAGCGTAAGAACTCGAGTTCTAGTAGCAAAGCCTGTAAAATCACTAAAATGCCTGGTATGAATAGCGTTCACAAAAAGAACCCGCCCAGCCTTCTCGCACCGGTGCCCGATCCCGTGAACAGCACCTCCTCTCGGCAGGTAAGGGACCTGTGCTTCCGGGGGCCCCCTGGTTCGGCCTTCGTGGGCTCTGGGGGACAGAGCGGGCTGGGCAGCGCTCCCGCTGAGCCGGGCAGCTCAGGCCCAGGAACAGAGCGGCCTCGGTTCTGAGGACGGTTTAGTGAACACATACTTTGTGCGGCTCTTGCTGTGTGCTGGGCTGTTCTAAGCACTGTGCAAATGTCACTTCGTTTAAGCCCTGCCACCCAGAGCGGTTGGTGCATTTGTTATCCCTGCTTTACAGACGAGGAAACTGAGGCATGGGGAGATGCGGAGGTCCCCCTCCACTTCTGCCCCTTCTGTTAATCTTGAGCTCTGAGGACGATTTCATTCAGTCTGGTCTCTGGGAAGCCCCTTAGGAAGAGCCCGGGGCCCAGGCAGTTTCAGTGATAGGGGCGCGGGGGGCCACCTGGGGTGTGGTGGCTGGTGCAGCTGCCTCCCAGTGACTGAGTATTCCCGCTCCTACAGTAAAACTGCATCTCACACCAACTGGCCCAGACGTGTCCGATGGTGCCACTGTGCAAGTAGGAGGGCATATGGTGAGGAAGCCCAGGATGATGGGGTGAGAAGAGTCCAAGCTCAGGCATCCTTCAGCCTGGTCCTCCCCCCTCTCCGACCCCCGGGTCGGGGCAGGGGGGGAGGCGGGGAGGCTATTGAGAGGCCCCACCCCCTCCAGGTGCTGCCGCTTTGGGGCGCAGAGGGCACAGGTGGCAGAGACCTTGGGCCCCACGGCCCAGACGGTGGACTGCCGCTGCCCGGGTTTAGAATTAAGTGGGCCGGACCCTCAGCCCAGCCCTGTGTGGGGATGAGGACTTTGGAGAGATGAGAGGCAGTTGTTAATGTTTTATGTCATCTTTCTATGAGGCTTGTGAAAGCTCAGGAAGAGAGCATCTTGAGGGGGATTCACAAATCACAAGTAGACACATGAGAAACAGCACGTCTGGATCCCAAGGGTCAGACAAGCTGCAAACTGAGGCCAAGGTGAGACAGGGGGAGATGTAGGTGCTCACACTGGAGCCCGGGACACTCACACCCGTCCACAGCTGTGGCAGGTGTCCCACCGTTCTAACCCCCCAATTCCAAGGGTGCAGGGGATGGGGGCCAGCACCCACAGGGCCCTCTCCTGAGACTACACTGCTGGTCGGGGACACCTTCAGGCCTCAGGATGATGAAGGGCAGAACCAGGGCTTCCTAAACTTGACTGTGTACAGGAATCCCCTGGGAGGGGGGTGTGTGTGGGGGGGTGTCTTATTAAGGTGGAGACTCTGAGTCAGCAGGTCAGGGGTGTCACCGTATTGGCTTAGAGGCCACACCCTGACAACCTGGGGCTTGAACTCACAACCCTGAGATCAAGAGTCAGATACTTACTGACCGAGCCATCCAGGCGCCCCCTAGTGTCACCCATTTTCGATAAAGTTCTAGCCACAAACACTTAGGGGATGAGCTCTGTTCCGAGCGCTTCAGATATATTGTCACTTAATTGTTACCTGTTATTACCCCCCATTTTACAAATTAGTAAACCCAGGCATAGGGAGGTTAAACAACATGCCCAAAGTCACACAGCAAGGAAATGGTAGGGCAGAGATTTAAACCCAGGCAGTTTGGCTCTGTAGTCTAGGCTCTTAACCTTCATGCCTCTGTGTTCATGGAATGTCTCCGTACTGAGTCGACGTTGCCATTTGTTCTTGGGTGAGCAGGACCGTCCGAAATGTTTAGCAAACACAATGAATTAGTCAAAACCAGTGGAGAAAGGAGCAGACAGGCCTCTACCAGAGTATTTATGAAGGGGGAAATTAAAAAAGCTGATGCCTTGGACAGCTGCCGCGTGTCTAGCCCACATCGGCTCTCTCATGCGGGTGACACCTGGGTGCCTGTCACCGGGCCATTTAGAAAACCTGTGTCCAGGGTCACCCCCGGTGATGTCCAAGTGCTGGGGAAAGGCCTTTGCAATCTGTGTCGATTCTGTTAGGAGACTGGGAGAAGCACGAGGTAGGTTGAGAAATTCAAGGTAAACATGTGCTTTGGGAACCAACTGGGGATCTATTTAATTGTATCCGGTAGGTGTAAGACCAGAGCATTTCTCACAGAGATATTAAATTGAACAAAAAAACAGGACTGCGAGTATAAGGCGGACGTCTGTATGCAAAGGTGAGTTAACACAGAGGACGAGCTCTTTATAGGCCCAAGGAGGAGCTGCCTGTGGGCGGGGTACTCACCTCAGGAAGCCGCCCGCCGCGGGCCCAGGCCGGTCGCAGAGAAAGGGGAGGAGCCCGGCGGCCACACCCACAGGCCCCCGGTGCCGCCTCCTGGGACCCCGCGCCGGCTCCCCCTGGAAGCGGGAAGCCCAGGGCCGTTTGGCTAGTTTTCTGAAGAACAGCAAGGTGGTCGCTGTGTCCCGTAGCCAGGAAAACGGACCCAGAATAAGAGGCAAGCTTTTATGCTGATCTAGTCCCGGGGAGTCTTCTCGGACCGGTCTGGGAGGTCAGAGGTGGAGAAGCAGGGGCCTCTGCAGGGGCAAATGCCTCCCCCGCCCCAGGACGGGCGAGGCTCTCGCCAGACGCCTTCATCCTCACCCCTGGAACTCCCATGCTACATCTGGGAAGCAGAATTAAGAGCTCCCCTCCATTGCACCTTCCCTGTGGGACGGGAGGTGCCCCCGGAGGCGTTTGCGTCTTCTCCGCCATCTAAGACGGAAACGCGAGCGGCTCACCACTGGAGGGCGCTGTTGGGCCCCGGGCTGCGCCGGATACCGGGGGTCTCGCCTCAGGCTGGCTGGTGGATCTGAGTGCGACGTCTATGGTGTCTTTCAGGTCGGGAAAAATAGCAGCCTAGCTTTGTCACAATCCAGTCCTTCAAGCATATCCAGCCCAGGACACAGCCGGCCGGTAAGTTACCAGGGGGCAAAAGGACATGGGGTCCGCAGCAGTGGGAGCGAGGGCAGACCCTGGCTCACACCTCAGCTCCAGTTAAGAGCATCGCTTCCTGGCTTCTAGAGCTTGGCCATCTTGTTAGTAGCTGTGTGTCCCTAGCTAAGTTACTTAACTTCCCTGTGCTTCAGTTTCCTCACCCACAAGGGATCATAAACGGCCCCTACCCCATACGGCTTTTGTGAGGATTAAATTAATTTTTTCACATAAAGCCTCTAGAAAATGCCTGACACATAACAAACACATAGGTCTTAGCCCCAATTATTAATCGCAGCTGTGTGATATCAGGTACATTCCTTCTCTGAGTCTCAGTGTTTTCATCTGTTAAATGGCAAAGGCGACACCTCCCTCCTAAGGTTATTGTGAAAATTAATGAGCTGACCGAGGGGCCTTGCTCGGGGCACTGATCCATCAGTCCCTTCTCAAGGCCTCTGGTGAGTTGTGACTACTGTTCAAGATGTGGTTTAGTGGTGGGAATATCCAGGATAGATCTAGGAGTTTTTACAAAGTCAAAAGTGTGAAAGTAGTCAGTGTACAAATTATCTTCTCCAGTGGAGTGTGTGTGCCTTTGAGGAAGGCCAGGGAGGGTAAAGGGTGGGGTAAGGCGTGTTCTACGTCACTGGAAAGAAATACATGCATAGCTGTGTTATGTCCTCTTAGATGCGCTGTTGGTTTTGTAGATACCAAATTGCAGTATGTTTTTCTGCATTTTGGCCTTTGGGGTTTCCCCACCAGTGTTGGGTAGTGTTTGGGTGAAGATTATAGGGAAATAGTTTTTGTATCCCCAGATCAAGGAGAGTGTCTCCACCATTTTGTGCCTGAGCATCTGTGTGGGAGGCCGTAGGGGGGATGACGCAGAGAAGGAGGCGTCTGTGCCCTGGTAACCTGCCCCTGTTCGTGACTGGCCTCCCGCACAGTCTGCAGAGTGCACCTGTTGGCTACACGGTCACCCTTAACGAACGTAATAATAATAAAATATTATTACGAAAAGAGGCTTTTCTCTGCAGGAGCTATGCTGAGCCCTTTACATACATTACATACATATAACCCTTATAGCAACCCTGTGAGGGACAAACGATGATCCTCATGTTATAAATTGAAGATGCCCAGACTAAGGCTAAGTAACTTGAACCCAAAGCCTCTATGCTTAATCCAACACTAGACGTCTTCCTTAGAGAATTCTCCATGTGGTCTACAGGTTAGGTAGAAAGAGGTAAATCAAGAGAGGAAAAAAACAAAGACGGGTCCATTATTCCAGTTCTCTCTGCAGGAGGGGACCCCCTCCGTGCACGTGCACGGGATGTGTCCCTGTGTCTTCCCCGGAGCGAGGATCTGCGTGGCCACCTCAGGTGCCCCGAGCCCTCCACATCCGGCGCCTCACTTGCCCATCACCGTTGCCTTCGGCCAGAGGTGGCTCCGTATCAGCCGAGAAAAATGAGCCTCTGTTCTTGAATTCTTGCGGGTCATCCCAAGTGTATGGTTTTGAAACAAGCTTTTCTTTTCTTTCCTAGAAGACCACAAACAGAACGGGCAGGATAAGGACTCTTCCATAACAAGACTGTGAAGCCACTTCCAAACCAATGCCTGGCCGCCCGGAGGCCGAGGCGGGAGGAGGGGGGGGTGCGCAGCCGGGGAGAGTCGGCTTCCTGTGCCGTGCCTGTGGCTCTGGCCGGGGGGGTTCCTTTTTTAATTGACCAGTTTTTAGTTTTGAAGAAAAAAGCAAAAGGCAAAAGAACGTGAATTTAAGATTTACAGAAAACAGTACCAGTGTTTTGTTTCGGTTCTTTCATTTGCCATGTGTATGCGTTCTTCCAAGTTTGGGGTCGCCCCTCTAGCTTCCGATGCTGCTACTGCACCATCATTTCGCGCCAGCCACGTGAGCAGTCATGGCAGAGTGTCCGTTCCCGGTTGGCGTGGTCTGAGACTCTTGAACTTGAGCAAGTGCGGTGCTCCTTTCCTTGACCTCTCCCACCCGTCCCTTCCGTCCCCTCCCACCTGCCGCCCACCGGCGCCCCCCTGGCCAGCGTGCTGGGGGAGGGGCTTTGCTGGGGAAGAGCCTGTGTCTGGGGACCCGAGAGCCGGGAGCCCCGCCTGGGCTGAGCGTCCTCATCAGGTTTCCGCGCTGCGCCAGCACTGCGCGAGCCGGATGCTCTGCGCAAAACGGAGAAGATTGGCCGTTGAACTATGTCGTTTAGCCAATACCACTGTCCAGCTGTGCAGCTCAGAGAGGATCTGGGTCAGGGACAGGGGCTGGAATGGGCCCAGAAGGTGGCAAGAAGCAGAGCTTATGCGGGGGGGACGATACCCCTCAAAAGGCAGAGGAAACCGGGTGGCTGATCACCTGAGCTTGTTAGGGATCCATGTTGCAGAGTCCCTTCCAGGGTGCGGGTGTACAAGGGCACCAAAGCAAGGCGAACCAGAGAAGGAGAAATCCCAGGGAGAAGGGCGTGAGACCCCAGGAGGCCACTCAGGGCTTGAGACACAGCTTCCACAGTGGTGGAAGTTCTCAAGCTGCCCTCTGGGGTGAGACAAGAGGAGGAAAGGCAGGGCTGGGGGTGCAGGAAGGGTCTGAGAGAAAGCTTCCATGGAGGGTTAAGTAATAAACACTAGCCCTGCCCACCCACCTCCGTGCCCTGGGCCCCAGGGTCCCGTGCAGTCAGCACACCCATCAATCAGCTTGTGCTAAGCTATCACAAGCCCCCACTCTGATCCAGCCACCCCAGGGAGGTGTAGTGAGCTCAGCGACCACTTAGTGAAGAAGAGCTATTTGGAAGAGCGGGAAGAGAGAAGCTAGAGCCCTACAACTCTGAAACTGTTCACAGTGGCATTTTGAAAGACATAGCAATACCACATGCTCTACTAGGGAATGGGAATCAGGAAAGGAATTCACAATATGAAATAGGCATTCTGTGCTATTAATCATGAAACTTGTATCCGATATAATAGCAAGAGATACTAGGAAGTTTTGCTTCATCCCTAAATCAGAAATGAATGCCAGTTTTGCAGCTAGACCCAAACCCTCGTCCCTACCCTGAAGTTTCCCTTTTCCTTCCCATCCCCACAGCCCAAAGATCAGACTACTGTTACGTTTCACCACATTGGATTTCGCAAAGACGGGAAGCAAACGGAGTGATTTGTATCAATGGAATTGCACTGACTGTGTTTCTTATAGGATTCCTAAAATTTTTAATATAAAATGAAGATTTTTTTAAAAATCAGGAGTTGATATTAGGTACCAGAACATTAGTTCAGATTATTTCATTTTTATTTCTACAGTGTTAAAAGTGCACTTATATGCCGGTTTATTTACGTCTTGGGAAAAAGAGACTACAAATTGAAGGGAAGGTGGTTACTTTTCTTTTTTTAAAAAAAAAGTTAAGGCAGATTTTAAGACTTATAAAATGTTTAAGAAATTATAAACAGGTTAGACCCTTTGGAAAAAAAGTTTAGAAGATATTCTTAAAGTAAATTTTTATAGTGTTAATTTTGTAATAATTTATGTTTTACTATATTACAGAGCTAACTGACCAGAATAGTTTCAGAAACAATATGAAACGTAGGAAAGTTTAAGCAATGTTTATATTTTTAAAATGTTCTTTGAATTATGTTTTTATTGTACATTTCTTCAGACTGAAAAGTATGTACATATCTTTGTTATTTTTGCACAATTTTTGTCTCGTTCGGTTTTAGAAGTCTGTTGTTTTTTTATAATTTATTTTAAGTTGTAAAACTTGCAGGAGTAAAAAAACAAAAACAATTTTTTTAAAAAAATCTCAGCAACAAAATAACCCTCTGATTTATAAACTCTTACACTCAAAGAGGGAAAACAAAGGTTGAGAGTTTGAGTGGCTGCTTCTGAGAAATAATGTCTCTTGACAGGGACGAAAGGAGCAATTCAATAGGCTTAAACATTTTAGCTGTCTACATCTTGAATTGCAAGCTGGAATAAAGAGGCTCCCCACCGAATGCTGCTTACTTGGTGAAAGCCTGGCTCTGACCAAGGTGAGGACATTTCTGGAAAACTGAGCAAAAAGGGAAAACCCATGGTGTTTCTTCCTTCACAATCAACCACAGGTTTACTTTATAATGATGTATTAAAAACAGCTTGAAAAATGGAATGCAAATAAAAGGTTTTCTTTGGGTTTGTTTTAATGGAGTTCAACTGGACCAGCCTATAAAGCATTATTAGGGTGAGACCCTTTGGGTACTTCTGTTCTGCGCATCCCACCCCAGCCCCTTGACTGCACACACACACACACACACACACACACACACACCACGACCCCCCCCCCCCATTTGCCTGAAGATCTCATGACTTGTCGTCAGCCATAGAGGCTCGAAAGCTCTGGTGGTTAAGCATAACACAATGCATAGACCTGTCAGCCATAAAAAAAAAAAAAAGCGACTTGGATAACTTGTATGCCTTCTTTTGTATCAATGTACCAATTGTAAATAACGCTGATCAACCTTTGTAGAGAATAGTTTCTACAGCATATTCTATTATTGCCGATTCTCAGTGAACTCTTGTTTTAAAAAAGGAAAAAAAAAAGAAATTTTCTATTTACACCTTCTATTTTGTTATGCTGTCAGCCCATGGCACTTTAACAAAACTCTGCGGGTTTTACGTAGCTGGTCAGTCATGGGGTATATTCAGTCACTGTTGTTGCACAGACAAGAATTTACACCTGCTCATTTGTCCTTTCCTACTTACCGATTTTAGAACCTTTTCCAGAAGAATTTTGGAGAAAGCATGTCCCAACATTCTAAGCAAACGCCACACTTGTGGAGTGGGTTTCTTTTCTACGGTCCCTATTTTGTAACACTAAGTATTTTCCTTCTTTGTCCCTGCAACCTTTACGTATTAGCACTATCAGATAGAATTCATTCCATGCCTGTGATATTGTAAGCAGAATAAATGTCTAAAGTAGGTGTAAATAGCAAATTCTATGGCTTACAGTTTTAAAAGGAAAGAACAAACATGTATCTATTGATACTGCCATGGTTCAGCACCAGGCCTGGAGACATTCTCCAGTGAGCGATTGTACTTTTTTTTTTTTTTGGCCTTTTTTTTTTTTTTTTTGTAACATGGCTTTGTAAATAAAATAATTTATATGTTTGTAAAACAAAGTCTTCGGGTTTTTATAAAATGCAGATTTTTTGCTATTTCTTTTTTTCTTCTGGGTGACAGTGTTCCCACCTGATGAGCCTTCCTGCTAGAACACACATTTGATAGAAGAGAGTGAATTCATTCAACAAATATTTATGGAGCATCCTGTGGTGACTGCCCCTCAGCTAGGCGCTCTGTGCTCAGTGAGGAGAAACACAGTCCCAGCTGCTTTCTGGAAGCCACCTGGTGGGGAAGATAGTAAATAAACACACGATCAAGTGTGTAATTACAGATTGTGGCAAAGGCTGTGGTGGAAAGAATTGAATTCTGTGAGAATTAAAATTAAATTAGAATTAAAATTAAAACGGGTGATAGGGTACTATCCAGGAGTCCCCTCTGAGGAAATGAGCTGAAGGCACAGTGTGGAGGAGAGAATCCCAGGCAGAGATGGTCCAAGGTGGGAAACGCTTGTAAGTTCTTAGAGCCTAAGGAAGATCCACTGTGGACAGAGCAGACGGAGAGAGATGGACAGAAGGCAAGGCAAGGTCACAAAAGGCCTCACAGAGTTTGGATTTCATGCTCAGTTCAATGGGAATCCTTTGAAGGGCTTTAAGTAGGGGCATGGCATGATCCCCAAGTACGAGCTGCTGGGTAGAGAATCACTCGGAAGCTAGTTCAAGAGACCAGGTGAGACGTCATGTCCGTGTTGTCCCAGGATGATGACAGCAGAGATAGGGGAAGTGAATGGAATCAAGATATATCTTACATCTTAAATTGACAAGACTTGGGCGCCTGGGTGGCTCAGTTGGTTAAGCGACTGCCTTCGACTCAGGTCATGATCCTGGAGTCTCTGGATCGAGTCCCGCATCGGGCTCCCTGCTCGGCAGAGAGTCTGCTTCTCCCTCTGACCCTCCCCCCTCTCATGTGCTCTCTCTCTCATTCTCTCTGTCTCAAATAAATAAATAAAATCTTAAAAAAAAAAAATTGACAAGACTTGCTTAGGAACTGGATCTGAGAGTAAGGAATAATGACTCCCAGGTTGTGTTAGGTGAAGATGCCTGCCATTTCTTCAGATGTGGAAACCAGAGGAGGAATGAGTTTTTCACGGGGCAGGCAGGAGGAGTTTGGTGAGGCTCAGAAGTCCTCTTTTGTGTGCGTATGTTGGCTCCTCAGTGGGATCACTGGCCCACCGAAGCTTCTGTGCCAAGTAGGCATGATATACGCATGACTGAAAGGATCAGCAGCTCTAAGTTGGAGGCACCAGTTTGGGGACCTTTAGTATATGGATGATATTTAGAGCCACAAGCATGAGTGGGATTGCTTGAGAGAATGTGGAGCGAGAAGAGCAGACACTTAGCAGTTAGGTGGAAGAGGAAAACTAGCAAAGAACCCTAAGATGAAGCATTCCTAAAGAGAAGAGAAGAGGGAACCCAACAGAAAGTGGTTCCCTCAAAGCCAGGGCTATAAGATGTCTCCAGGAAGGAACAGTCAACTGAGTCAGATACCATGCACAGTGTTAGATCCAGATGGTATCCTGTGTTTGGAGTTACGCAGCATGGAGGTCATGGGTGACTATTAGTTTCCTAGGGTGGCCATAACAAATTACCCCTACATGGTGTCTTAAAGCAGCAAAAATTTATTCTCTCAGAGTTCT